GGCCTTTATTGCACACTAGTTGTTTGGTGACCCTGTTGCGCTCAGTCCTCTTCCTACTTACTTTACACTTCTGCATTAAAGCACATGGGAGTTTTCTCCACAAGTCACCATTAGCTCTTTAAATGACATCCAACAAGTCATCAAAGAGTGCAAAGTGTACCAAAACATCCTATTCAAGCTCCAAGCGCTCTTAGTTTGCAGAAATTGCACTTGAGTGGAAGTGAAATTGCTAGTGTAAAATATTATGAGGAGCAATTCCATCACTTCCAAAACAAATTTGCTAGGAGGTAATGTTTTAGATCCTGTCTCTCACATATGAAGACATTTAAACACACTGTGTATTACAGCTGTCATTTTGGGTAATTTCTTTGTACTTAAGATCCCACTTTTACTATTTATTTGCTTACAGTCAAAATATCTTATTTCTTATAGGTTACTTATGCAGTGTTTTTACTCTGACCCCAATATATTTATGTCCAAATAATCAAAATATTTTAAGCTTTTTTTAATCGACAAATCTTCTGTTTTCCACCATGTAGAGAATCCAAAATAACCCAACCTGCTCATGTTTAAGCTTTAGCCTTTGCTTTGTAAGGGGGCGTCTTCGATCAAGCTTCATAGTGCTGAGATGTACGTGTATTGAGACCCAATCTCAACTTACTTTGATAGAAACCAATATATACAAAATAATTTAAACCAGGTGTGAGAACTTTCATAATTGTAGTATTTGAAGGATGTTCTTTTGTTATTGTTACATTTATTACTTTTTGAGGTCTTTTGTAACTTCTCTCTGGAAAGGTAAAGTCATGAGTTCAAACACACAATAGGACAATATTTTATGCTCTTTCATAAAATCGGCATCCACATATGTCACTTTAGTCAATGTCAAGTTTATATGTAAAGCCCTTAATCAAAGCCAGAGTGGGGAGAGAGGGCCTCACTAGTTTAAATTATACAAGGACACATCCTGAAGAGGCCAAGGAAAAACTTACACAAAAAATAAAATACAGCAAAAATGAAAGGAACCTTGGGAAGAATAAAATATAGGTAGCCTGACCCTTGCAGGGCTTTGAGGCACTAAATGGGTAGTATCAAATCAATAATACAGTTAGACAGTGTCACAGGTTGGAAACCAGAATGAGGCAGGGAAACATAAAAGCAAAAAGGAAAAAAAAATACTTTCTGGTGAGGTCACAGCATTAAACAAGGCAGTGTAATGTTTTTGCCAGTTTAAAGCCTCTATGTGCAACATGTGAAAATGTACCACTTTATGTGCCTCCCAGTGGTAATATCACAAAAAAAACTATATGGCAGACTGTAATGTGCAGAGCTGCTCCACCTCCTGAGCTTTTAGTAGTCTTAATTTTGGCACCTGTCACTCAAATGTACCACAATTATGTTGTAAGGAAATGAGGAAAAGTATAGCTCATACATCTATGAAGTGCAAAAATGTATGTTTGGATTGTTGGTGAAGTTAAACTAATGCTTTCCCTAGTATTTGTATCTGAATCTAAGCAGCAGATCAGCTGTCATGTTAATCATTTTTATATGAGTATTGCATATATTGAGAAAAACAGCTCTCTGCAACATCTCTGGTAGCTTCTCCCATTAAAATAAATAAATTTATAAATCAACATCTTTCTGATCGCTGATAGATACTAACCATACTAACATGCACATCACTTACACCCACCCCACAGGTTGAGACCCCTCTTTGTCGCTCGTGTCTGTATTTGACGACCTGGAAATGTAGAAGGACCTACAGTGACTGTGAAACTGCTAAAATCTCTATCTACAGCCAGTGTTTGGTTTGTCCGTTTTGAGCTACTTTAGAAACATAGCGGTTCAACAAGGTGATCTGCACCAATAAAGCCTCCTAAATATCACACACTGGACCTTTACAGCTGTAGTAGGTAGGTTTTAACCTTTTGTCATATTTGCTACACTTTTCACATGAGGTTCCTCTGGCTCCTCTTAGTGGTCCTAAAATGGCATTTGCAAAAATCCACAACGCCTGAACCAATCCGAGCCGAGAAAGATTAATTGTTGAGTCTCATTCCCAGGTCATCAAATACAGACACTTTGGGTTGGTGGCTTTAGGGCACCGAATAAAGTATTGCTGATTTATGGGTTTAAAAATGTCACAGTGTTACAAGTTTTTCCCATGTGTCCTCAATTACTCTGTGCTGGAGCTAGTTTTTTTCAGGTTTCATATTGTTTGGTATGATTACTGGTAATGTGCAAATGTTGAGTGTTTCTCTCATCTGGTGCTCACGTGGAGTCCTTTAACTCAGCGGCTTCAGCAGGAATGATTCCTGTCAGGCTATGTCTCACAGCTTCCTGCGGTCCTTCTTCGTTCGTTCAGACCAGAAACACTGATTCATAAGCCTCATCAGTAAACAAGGCCCGGTGACTCAGCGGGGGGGAAAACACATTCTGCCTGTCACATTTGAAAGTCAATGAGCTCCAGTGTTCTTTGATACACTGCACCAGCTAACCACCAAAAAAAGGGAAATGTACATTCAGACAATCACACCAGTCTTTCTTTTAATCTTTATTTGCTTGTTTTTGAGGGTTTTTTACTGCTAAGTTTTTAATGAGTTGTTGACACTGATGATCCCAAACATCTGCTGGACCCTCACAGTTCATGATGGGATAAAACTAATTAGACAGCACCACCCCCGAGCTGGAGTTTTGTGGCTCTCAAGCATGTGTGGAAACTCATCAGCCCAAGCTTCATCTGGCAGCCGACTTCCCAATGGATCATTTCACGTCCGCCTTTGTCTGCACACTGGTTGGCACAGCCTTTTGTATTGTCAAGGTTGTCTTTAAAAGAACGGAACTGTCGATAGATTAAAAACATATCGTACATCAGCAGAGTTTGAACACTCATCCAGATCACCTTAAGGCCTTAATTTGCATTTATAAATTTGCCTCAGGCAGAGTTCTGAGGGTATACACATTTCTCTCTGCCTTGTACTTGAATAACTTCATACATTTTTCTTCAAGTACAAAAAAATAGATCATTTTCTAAACTAACAACCATGAACACATTTGTGCAGTAACTATGAACAACTTCTGCCCTCAGGGAAGACTACTTTTCTATGATAAACAACCTCTGTACCCTTAGGGAAGACATTACGAACAACAGGATAACTTTTATTATCTATAATAGAACTTTGGGACGAACGCATTTTCAATTTGCTGTGATCTCGCAGTGAAAAAACCTTTACTCAAAACATAAAGAACTACTGCTGTGCACTCAGTAATACATTGACAGTGAATGCGATGTATGACCGCAGAAACGGAATCACAGCTTTCTGAGAAAAACAGTTCAGTTTATGGTCCAGCTGGGTACCCACGTGGTGCTGCTTGTTCAGTAACTGTGTATCAATAAGCACTTTTCTTAAGTACATAAACCCCATAAAAACAACTTACAAACAAGAATACTGCTACTTTGTCCCAAGCACATTCATTCCAAGTAATGATGTAAATCTTTAAACTAACTAACAAACTAGCAGAAATATATGTTTTTCAGGAGTAAATACTGTATCAGTGCCATTTTCAGTCTTGACTTTGAAATGCTATTAAGAATAAGTAATGCAGACAATATTTGTTAGTAGGATGAAGTCATTGTTTGGTCAACCAGCCGCTGCAGTTCCTCGAATGGTCTCTTGAGGACGGCTCCAAAAGAGAGTCAAACTCCATAAACCCTCATGTTAAAATGCCCAACTTTACATCTTTGCAGCATGGTTCAAAAAACGTTTTTGGTCTCTGTCGGGCAAAGGAAGTGATAGCGGCCACAATTATATCCCTTGTGCCACCTGCAAGAAATAAGCATGTTCTCTTTTATGGTGTGCTACCAGTAAAACTGCAACATAGTTAAAACAGAGTGCAACCATGCACCATGCAAAACATTAATGACACTGCACAGTCCTTGTAACCACTAAAAACAGCTCCTCTTCTGTCTCCTTGGCTCCCCTCTCTTCCTCCTCCTTCTCTGTCCATGCACATTTCCTTTCCTCACCTTCTTATAACACCTTAATTCATTAAGAGTAGACTAGCCTTCCTTCTTATCAACAGCCACAAATTACTAGTTTTTTCACCACCTTTTAATAACCCCAGCAGGTTTTTCAGTCCATTCCCAAGCAATCAGCGCAACATGGGAGGTCTCTAACCAAGCAGCGCTGTCAGTGGCTTCATATCAGTGCAGGCCTGCCACTTCAACAAGGAAAATGTCACTTTTGATATCTCCCCCTGGTCATTGTCATTGTGGGGAGTCTAACCCGGCTAATGAAGTAAAAATGGAAAAGCTGTGGGAGGAAAAATTGTCTCTGGTCAAAGTCTGTGAACTTAAAAGCCCTGCATCATGCTGTTCCTTTCTTTTTCTTTTTTCCTTATGTGTGCATATTATTCCCCCCCTCCTGTTTTATGCCATGCCTTTTATTGTGTCATTATGTTTGAGTTTATACATCAACTTTTGCTTTTTCGTTTGCAGAATCCTTACCAACTTTGTACTCTTTTCCTTGGAGATATTAAGAATGCGCGGGCACGTTTGTTTGTCAAGATAGCTCACTGCATAACAATGACAGCATAAATACAATGCCAGCATGCCTTACTCATTAGACATTTAATCAGTTCTAACAACCATGTGCTCACTAGCATTGTCAGTATTTAATGTCATGGTGTGTAGCCCGTGAGTAGACATAAAAGAGAAAAGTTTCCAACAAGATCCTTGATCAGCTTAGTCAGTGTGAAACTAGTGTAAGTGTTGCTGTGTCATTGCTGTGTGTACAGTATTTAATACATTGCATTGCCAATTCATCAAAAGGTCTGCAGCAGACCTTTAACTCGTGCACACATGGTGACACACAATGAGCTGTTGGTCATATATCAAACAGCGATACCATCGCTTCACTGTGACTTTACTTTATCCTCATGGCTTTTGTACTCATTTGTTTCCCCCCCTGTGTTTGTCATGTATTTGTCCTCTCATCCAGATGCTCCCACCACTACCCCTATACCCACCACAGCCACCACCACTACCACCACCATCACCACCACCATCTCCTACCCTGAAGGCAATCAAGGTACAGTATCACCCTCACAGGACCTGTGTCTGTGTGTGTATGTGTGGGTGTGTGTGTTTGTGTTTGTGTGCATGTGTGCTCCTTAATCCCCCGCACAGCCTTGAATCACTCCATATATCTCCATCGTCATGCCATAGCGTATGCATGTTCCGTTACCAGTGGGTTAAGGCCACCCTGATGCTTTACCAATTCATTTTTAAAAGCTTTGACAGTTAAAGCAAGGGCAGAAGCATTTTTTGTTATATTTGTTGAATTTCTCTTTACATCCCGACAGCGATTGATAAATCCAATCCTCTGGAAAAATAGAAATAAAAAAATCAGTGTCTGTGGCCGTTTCAGGCCTGTAATAAGCCCAGCCAATCATTTCATTTGGCTGGGCTGAAATGATTGGCCGGCCTACCTACCTGCCTACCTGTACGGTAATACATATTTTTCTGGTGTAAAAAGTGCTCTAATAATGTGGATGTGCGCATGTGAGGTTCCATCATGAACAACTGGCCTTTTTCCATCATTCTCTAACATTTTTGTTCAGCACAGCCTGTGAAAGGTTGCAGACTTTGACATTGCACATTATGATTCACAAATAAAGAAAAGTTCTTTAAAATATTGGTTAACATGGAAACATGGAAGATAAAAATAGACTTAAGAATTAGGATGAGTAATTACACCCCTCCACTGCACACAGTGATGTGCCCCCACAAGGTTTTCTACTTTCCAGATGTGTGTGTGGGTGTGTACAGCAGTTGGGATTGAGGGGACAAACATCAGGCCGAGACCTAGCTCGTGATACTTTGTCGTCAGTCCAAATCCTTTCACAGCAGGGTTTTGCAACAGGCTTAAATGATCAAATATGGATACTGGATTCACTATGATAATTGTATGAGTTTGATATTTGTTCCATAACATTTACTCGCTGCTGACTCTAGAATTTCCTTTTATAAGAGACACATCTCTTATCCATGAAGTCAATTAAAGATCAGACTCTAGGTGTGTTGTGGGAAGAGGGTAGTGGGGATGAACAATAACTGAACATGAGCACTTGAAAATTAGGCCCTTTTGAAATAAGCAAATGTATCTTGCTCTTTCAGAAACAGAACTGAGGGCTATTGTGAGTATAAATCTCCAAAGGGTGCAGATAGAAAACATCACTTTATGCCTCGACTCTGAAATCAGCCTGAGCTCCAAATGCAATCAAAGCCTCTCTGACAGACCGCTCAATTGGAACAAATCTCACGAGGCTGGCAGAAATCACAGGCATTGTGCTTGATTATGCCATCTGATTGGATTAAAGAGAATACCTATCTATGCAGGCTGATTGATAGCTCCTTTGCCTCAGAGTCTGGAGTCTGCACAGGCCTGTTCTGATTATAGCTATCCTGACTGATTCACACTCGGATGCTGATTATTTCTAATGTGCCTGCTGAGAATAATAGAGTTACTTTATAGGTAAATAATAATACTAAAGACATGTTTTGTTTTCGTTTGTTTTTTTAAGTTATTTTTTGGGCCTTTTATTGCCTTTATTGGATAGTGAAAGCTGAAGATAGACAGGAAAGGGAGGCAGAGAGAGAGGGGATGACACGCAGCCAAGGGCCGCAGGTCAGATTCGAACCCGGGCCGCTGCGGCAACTCCGTACATGGGTCACCAGCTCCACCGACTGAGCTAACCGGGTGCCCAGACATGTTTTTTTTTTAAAGATTACCTGCAAAAGATTTGTGAATTAGTCGAATGAATAAAATTTAAAATTTATCATTCCTTTAAGTACAATGTTCCTTGCAACTTAAAGGAATGATTGACACAGAAGTAAAGTTGAATTCGTATGCAATGTAATGCATTGCTCAGTTCAACTCACTTGTGGGTTTTGTTGCTACAGCGTTAATGTGCCTTTTATTACCAGTATCCTACAATGTAATCTAATGTAAGATACAGATATTTATTTACTCAAGTGCTGTACTTAAGTTCAAATTTGAGACACTTTTACTTACTGAAAATATATGAAGAGCTTATAAAATGTGATGTTTTGTTATAGATTAAGCTGCAGTACATACAAGTACACCTGAAATGATTAGTCGATTAACTCATTAGTCGATTGACAGAAAATGAATCAGAAGAAAATTAAACTATTTTGATAATGATTTAGGCAAAAACATTTCATGGTTCCAGGTTCTGAAATATGAGGATTTACTCTCTCTTGTTAGTTATTTTGGTTTACTTTTAATAATGTTTAGGTTTGGACTGTTGGTTGGACATAACAAGCATTGTGAATGTGTCACTATTTTCCGAATTTTTGCAAATCAAACCATTAATTGATTAATGAAGATGCAGATTAATCAATAATTTAAATAATCATTAATTGCAGTCCTATACAAAATAGTTAAAAATTACTTTAAGTTTAACCAACTAAAATGTTAATTACACCTCAATGCAGGAGTAATAATAATCGAATATATAATAGTATAAAAGACACCGGGAGCATTTTCTTGATTTACTTAAGAAACATTTTCAATGTAGTAACAGAGTGTGTTCACTAAGAATCACTAAGAAGTCGTCCAATGAGGCAAGAAGCGTGAGAAATTATTACTGACATTTCAGGTTACATTCAGTAAATAAACATAATTGCTTTAGATATCTGGCTGTTTGCAACCTGTCTGATCTGACTGCTAGAGCTATCGGACTAAACTGTGGGAATGTGTCCATGTCCTGTGAGCCAAGCGCAATATTATCATACCCAATACAAATGATGGCCAAAATTAAATAAAAAAGCTTGGTTACAGTTTGTGACTAAATCATTTTAAGTTCAAGTCCACTTAGCTGTTTGGAGCTATCAACCATACTGTATAATGCTAGCTCTGACTCTGCCTTCTACTCTAGAACCACCTCCATTACCTCTATTTTTATTCTTCTCTTACAGAGTAAGATAAAAATAATTTCATAGAAGTCAAAGACAGAAAATCTCATCCCCAAAACAGCTTTTACTGACATAAAGGAGAGCTATAATCATTGAAAATCTCTGCTTACTAAAAATCACTGTACAGCGTGTTGGCAAGTTATTTCCGTCCCCTGTGAACAGGACTTACTGTATGTTGAGATGCCTGGACTGCACCTGATAAAGCAAACCTTACTTCTGCAGTGCCAATATTTTCAGGTTAAAACAACCCACTTACAGTTTCTGCCAGATGTCCTCTCTTTGCTTTCAACTATCAGGGGCATTCCATTATTACTGAGTATATAGATTGAAGGCAGTAGACTCATATGGCCATAATACGCTCTGCCAGTTGATTTCATTTACCCACAATGTGCCGCACAGATCAGAGACCCACTGCCAAATGAATCTATCAGAGTGGGATTGAGGGTTTTTTTTAACAGTTACCCATTAGAGGGACAGAATAGAGCACTTTAAAAAATCTATCAGAGGCCCAACACATGGCTCTTAAGTGCTTGGCAGGGGTTTAGAAAGTGACATGGGGAAATGACTACATTTCTATTTTCACTACTAAATACATTTCAAAATGGAGATATCTTGCTGACCGGCTCCTACAATTAGAATAAATTATTGTGTCATTTTTTTATGTTTCAAACAGAATTTTCTCCTTCTGCTTTTTTAGCATCCCGTTTCTTTTCCCATGTTGCTCGGCTGTCCATATTATTTTTTTCCCTCATTTCCATGTCAGTGTGGAAGAGAGAGTTTCCTCGAAAAGCAACATTTTGTGTTGCACACTCTCCTCAGGGGCAGCAGTCTAAATATCTTTTTAGTGGTAGTCAGGGCCAACAGGAGGTCTTTTGTGAGACACGAGCCGACCCCAAAAGTGCAAATGCGCTGCTCTCTTTGTGGAGATTCAACATTGATCCTCCCACCAATTCTATCTCTCTCATCATTTCACCCCTCTCTCCTATCAACACAGTATGAGTAATCATGCCCTAATTCAACACACTGCCAAGTGAACAATGCCACTTAATCCACGAATGAAGAAAATAGATAATAAATGTGTACCTTGTGCAAATGAAACAATCAGGCGGCAGGCTAGCATTACTTTTAATTGATGGAAGACCATAAATGGTGCTGACAACCAATTCATTTAACCCACACTACAGACAGGACAACAAAACAGGCGAGGGAAGGGAAGAGAAACAAATATCCATTACATTTGTCAAGGTCTTAAATTACATAAACACCATCTGGAGAAGTGACTTAAGAATTTTATTAATTTAGATGTGCCTCCACCTCACATTCTCCCAACTAACACATGCACACACTGTGCCAGATAATGTGTGATATTGTTCCCACTTTGCTCAGTTTGATTCCTTGTCCATTTTAAAAGTGGAGCAGCCAGCTATAACTAATTTGATTAGGGTCGATAGAAGCACAATAACTGCCGTCATGTGACATGCAGCCCTAAGTGAGCGTCAATGATATTATAGCACTCAGCATCATGGAAAACACTCGTCCTGGAGCACAACACATCTTCTTAATGTGGACGTATATTTTATTCTGGAGGTATTACTACAGTCCACAATGACCAAAAGGAGATGAAACTCATAAAGAAGGACCAGGAAGTAATCATCTAGCTACACAATATCTGAAAAGTAACACCAATAAAAGCCATTCAACTCAGTATTTACACATGAAGTCATATTTAACCACATTACAGCTCCTAGACTGCATTCTTTTTTTTTAATGGGTTCAAATAACAGCTTAATTGTGCATATAAATCCCAACACTATTGATTATTGTAATAGCATTTTTTAAGATACAGCACACTCTATATCTGATATTGGCATACAGTGTGGAATTGTTTTTACTATCTCTAAAGAAACTTACAGGGGTTAAACAAGAATCTGCAGAAAAACCTAGCTAGCTAAATGCTCACTTCAGAATGCTAACATGCTCAGAATGATAGTGCTAACATACTAATGTTTAACAGGTATGATGTCCACCATCTTAGCTTGCCCTTTTTCAAACAGTTTCCAACGACGACTGATGGTTTTGTGTAACATACCATCTGCCGCAGTCAGACTAGGTGGCACTAGGTCATCGTTAAGAAACAACTGACAAACCGGCAACTGTGATATATCTTGTATTTAAGAGCCTGTTCTGTTGTTTGGTCGCACAGTCTCAGTTAAAGTGGCAAAAAAACAAGTGATCAATAACAACTTACAACATAATCAGAACATACTGTTGGTGCCTCAGGACTCAGAAATTTCAGTTTCAGTTTCTTCCTAGCATTAGTGTTTTTACCAACATTCAGCAGTTCTTACAAGCAGAAATCTTTTGTTGAAGAAAGAGATACCAGTTTCTCTATCAACAATACTCTGTCGGGGGTGGCAAAATTCAGGAAAATGTAGGAAATCACAAACTAAAGCTGAGGCAGAGAAGGCCGGTCAGAGAAAGTGGATCCAACAAAAAAAGTAATCTAGCTGCCAGCGGGGACACCCAGCAGCCTGTTGGCATTTGCAGTACCACAGGGGTTCCACCTAATGCATTTCTGCCAATATAATTATGATTGGCACGTAGTTATTTCTGCATGTTGAGCTGGAAGTCATGTCACAGTGAGTCACCAAAGGGCTCATGGGAAGCGTTGCAACTAGTCATGGAGCTGATGTGTCCGCATAATGTCAGCGAGGACTCTGCCAATGTCTCAGTTGACCTGTGAAGCTAGATGGTGGACAAGGAGGAGCCTGTTCAAAAATGGACAGGCAATCACTCAGCAGCAGACATATTGAATGGTCCCACATGGCTGCCACCCACAGTGTAATGAGGGTTACCAGGCCATGCTGCCTTTCAGTTGACTGGGGCTTGCAGGGACAGAGGCTTCATTTTACATTTTGATGCCAATGAACACTAGTGCATTATTGTAAGTGGTTGCAGAGACAAAACAAGGCAATCGCTGACTTCCGAGTTGGCGCTGTTCTGCTTCATAGCGATGATGTGCATGCGGTTGCTGGAGTGTTCTATTGAAAAATGTTAATGTTGTGTCAGTCATATCTTCACTTTGATTTAATGTATGAGGCCTTTCTAAATCCGCATTTTTGTCTGTACCCGTGAAACCTGTGAACCGTCATCAGCTATGGCCCAAGTACTTACCCAAGTCCTCATTTAGCAAAGTACGCAAAGACCCGTAAGTGTTTTATCTCCATCCATTTCCTTGTGAAAGCTTTGGCATTAGCCCTTTACATTTTGAATACCAGGTAAGTTAATCAAAATAATGCTTTCTTGAAAAATTGCTTTGTCGATTCCCAAGGTGAGGTCCATCGACAAGTTCATTGTTATCATGGGGGAGAACAGTCTTCTCTTAGTGGGCCCTTACCAGTGACAATGATGTCTCGTAGCGTTTTATTCATAAACTATAATTTAAGATCTAATATTTATTCCATGCCAGATTGGTTTGTCTAAAGGTAATGTTAAACATAAAATAAGAAATTTGTTAATATTTGCCACTGAGAGGCCTTTTCAACCAACAAAGAACCAGCTCCATGTGAGTTCGCACAGATATTTTTTAACTTAAAAATTTTGACCAAAAATTAATTGGCTCAGAACCTGAAAATTGGTTCCCAGCTGGAACAAAAAATAACAGGTTTTCCTTAGGAACCAAAGTGGGTGTGCCATATTCTACAGGCTGTTGTGCATTGCCCAACGTCCACTGTTGATGATTCATACTTGATTTCATACTTTTTCGATAGATAGCACCAAGGGTCCAAGAACCTCAAATGGAACTGGTTCAAGAACCAGAGATCATTTGGTGGAAAAACACTATGACAGACGCTCAGATTGTTATTCTGAGAAACATTATGGAAAGAATCCCTACAGAGACAGACCTTTTTGTTAAAGAGTAAGATCCTTTTTGTTTAACAAGAAACAGCCGATATATCGCTCACCAGACTCCATTAACAAAATAGTCTCTCCACTGTTCCAACAATCACTGACTCTAAATTGGTCAAAATAAATCCTTAATTTATCGATTTAGATGAGAAAAGAAACAGTCTCCTGAAAGGCAACAGTTCCACATGGAGGGATTCACATGCACAGACAGCTGCGATGGATGTATAAACAAAGCATATAGCAGCTTGGAAACA